ACGTTTGTACAAAGGAACATAATAGTTGGGTGTATATGCCAAAAGCCCCTTTATATGCAAAACATTTTGAGCAAACTTAAAACTAACTTAAGATTAATAAGGCAATAACAGTACATATGGTCATTAGGTGAGTTACAGTGAATACAAGGGAATTTAATATTCTGTTAGGGTGTGCTATATGGCTTTAACCCTTTGACTGTCACAACCCCAAATCCTTGAAGTTGCAAAATATTCGAAAAAAAAAAATTATTTTTTCTTATGAAATGATAAGAATCTTTTCCCAATGGTAATGACACCAAAAGTATGAAATTTGATGGAAAACTTACTATGCTCTCCCGTAGTTAGCGATCTCGGTGATATACATGCATCAGTGATTTCACCCACTTTGAGCCCTATTTTCGGCCAATTCCATTGTTCCAGTCAACCAAACTCATAGCTATTTCTTTAGAACTCCATTTGTTCTATTGATTGAGCATAAGAAACTGTCCATTTACCGATTTCCACTACCCAATAAAGCGGTCAGAAATTGGCAATTTGGCCAATTTCACACAAATTAACCCTTTCAGGGTCGACAGGCCGTCTCAGAGACTTGTTCTCAGGGTCAGCCAAATTTTAAAAAAAAAAATTATTTTTTCTTATGAAAAGATAGAGAATCTTTTCCTGATCATAATGACACCAAAAGTATGAAATTTGATGGAAAACTTACAGAATTATGCTCTCGCGAAGTTAGCGGTCTCGACAATGTTTACACATCGGCGATTTTGCCCATTTTGAGCCCTATTTTCGGCCAATTCCAGTGTACTTGTCGACAAAAATCATAACTATTTCGCTAGAACTCTATTTTTTCTATCGAATGAGTACAAGAAACCACCCATTTATCGATTTCAACTATCCAATACAGTGGTCAGAATTTAACAATTTTGCCAATTTCACACAAATTTCAAAAGATGCCAATTTCCGAATAGGGTCCAGAATAAACAAGAAAGACATTCCTGGCACTAAAATAACATTTCCTCTGTTCATTAGTCACATCCCCATGCCCCTCTTACATTCTTTTGCTTTCCACTTTGAATTCTTATTCTCACAAAAAATAGAAGATTTACTGTTATGCAGACTACTGCATTGATGTAGAAATGGTATAAATATTATCAGTGCACTTGTGAAAGAATATTAGACTCTCCAGTTGACATGTATTGGATGCATGGCATGATTTGTTTGCTCTTGAACATTAGCAAAAATCGAACATTTCCGCTACTTTGAGCTCAATTTCAAGGTCCTTTTCATAATGAAACTAATCAAAATCATCTCCTTTTCTGTAATATGTTTGCCATTCTATCAATTGAGACCAAGAAAATGAGAATACAACCATAAGTACTATTCAAAAATACAACTCAAAGTCAGCATTTTAATCCAAAAACATGGAGTTTTTTTCTCATTATGCACTGCGTGCTGTAGGATTTTTTTATACTGTGCACACTCACCACACAGAACCATTCTCTCACATGTGGGCCTACCAGCTTTCTCCTGCTTGATTTGAAGGCGCTAGAACTTTGGCGTATCAATACGTCAAAAACACTCGCTCACAAGACGTATATATACAACCGAAACAGTCAAAGGGTTAATAAGTTTTGTAGAGAAGAATTACAGTTTTGATTATTAATACCAAAAATGTTTCATATTTTGAGATGAAAATATAAGATCCTGATTGTAAAAGTGACAATATTCCTTAACCTTCACTGATGGGACCCCTGATTCTAAACTCTTGTTCTGTGTCGAAAAATATTTGAAAAACAAAATATTTTTCTTATGAAATGATTGAGAATCGTTTCCCAATGGTAATGACACAAAAAAAAAAATTTAATGGAAAACTTATGGAACTATGCTCTCATGAAGTTAGCGCTCTTGGCGATATTTACGCATCACCGATTTTTGCCCACTTTGAGCCCTGTTTTCGGCCAATTCCATTGTTCCAGTCAGCCAAACTCCTAGCTGTTTCACTTGAACTCCATTTGTTCTATCAATTGAGTACAATAAACCACCCATTTACTGATTTCAACTACCCAATAATTGATCAGAAATTGGTAATTTGGCCAATTTCATACACAATTGAAGTAAGGCCAATTTCAAAATATGGGCCAGAATAAACAAAGCAGACATTCCTAGCACTAAAATAACATTTTCTCTGTTCATTAGTCACTCCTCCAGGCCCCTCTTAAATTACAGTGGACCCCCGGTATTTGATAAATCCGATATTCGATGCATTTTAACACAAAAATTTTGCCTTGGTATCCGATTGAAAACCCGGTATTCGATATGATTCGTACGAGACGTGTCCACGTGTGGCCTGAACTGCCCCTTGTGTGCCAGTGTTTACAAGCCAGCCAGTGTGCGGGCATCTAAGGATACATTGGTACATTCCATATTATACATATTATCACTGTTTTTGGTGCTTGTTTCTGCAAAATAAGTCACCATGGGCCCCAAGAAAGCTTCTAGTGCCAACCCTGTGGTAAAAAGGGTGAGAATTAGTATGGAAATTAAGAAGATTTTGAAGGGTTTGGGGCTAACCCTGAGAAGCCTATGCCAGTTGCGGAATCCATTGTGCATACTTCAAAAATTAAGGAAATATGTGCACAGTGGGTTGAACTGCATAACCTTTATGGATGAAAATCACCCTAACACAGCTATTGCAAGCCGTGCTGGTGACTATTACAATGACAATGTTGTGGCCATTTTAGACAAATCGTAAAGGAACGGGAGGTACAGAGCTCTATGGACAGATTTTTTGTGCAACAGAGGTCCAGTGACTCTCAAGCTGGTCCTAGTGGCATTAAAAGAAGGGAAGTAACCCCAGAAAAGGACTTCCTACCTCAAGTCCTAATGGAAGGGGATTCCCCTTCTAAACACTAACATCATCCATACTCTCCCCTCCTCCCATCCCATCAATCATCACCAGATCTTCAATAAAGGTAAGTGTCATGTAGCTGTGCATGTCTTCTTCAGTTTGTGTGCATTAAAATTAATATTTCATGTGGTAAAATTTTTTTTTTTTCATACTTTTGGGTGTCTTGCACGGATTAATTTGATTTCCATTATTTCTTATGGGGAAAATTGATTCGCTTTTGATATTTTCGGTATTCGATGAGCTCTCAGGAACAGATTAATATCGAATACCGGGGGTCCACTGTATGCTTGCTTTCTATTTTTCATTTTTATTCACACAAAAAATAGATTTACTGTTATGCAGACTACTGCATTATTGTAAAAATGGTATAAATAATATTAGTGCATTTGTGAAAGCATATTAGACCCACCAGTTGATGTGTGTGTTTTGGCGTGACTTGTTTACTCTTGAGCATCGGCAAAAATCGAACATTTTCACTACTATGAGCTCAATTTCAAGGTACTTTTAGTCCAAAAACCATTCACAATCATCTCTATTTCTGTAATATATCTTCCATTCTATCAAATCAGACCAAGAAAACGAGAATACATCCATAAATATCATATGGAAATAGTACACCGCAAAGTCGGTGTTTTACCGAAAACATGATCGGAATTTCTTTTTTCTCATGCACTGCGTGCTGCAGGATTTTTTTTATACTGCTCACACTGAGCACACAGACCCATTCTCTCACATTTAGGCCTGCCATCTTTGTCCCACCAAATTTGAAGGCGCTAGAATTTTGGCATAGTATTATGGGACCAACACTGGCTCTCAAACCGTAATATTATGGGACCAACCATGAATGGGTTAAGGAGGCGACAAACCTTTTTTTTAGTGATAAAAAATTGAAATTGAAAAATTATGGAAAACAATGTTTTTTTGCCAAAAAATAGTGCATAATTCTGGCAACATGTTGATGGAATCAGCTTGTTGCTATCAAATTTCTAAGTATGCTTTTCCACAAATGTAATTTTTTTGTTCTTGCTGTCAGCAAGAGGACGTGTTGGCAATTAGTGGTTTGTTTTTTTGTTTTACTCCCAAAACTATGATTTTTATGATTGCTTCATTCTAAATATTCTACAAGGCAACTTCTGTGAGGACTAGAGTGAAAAGAGGGATGAAATTGTCTCTCAGTAGCCTGCAGGCTATCGACAAGGACAGACAGGTGCAACATGCTCAGATTTGGCAGGCCATAACCATTGAGTTTTACCTAAAACATAATTAGGAATAACTCAGGAATAACAAAAATAACAGAAAAAGGCACAATACTGTGACTGGAACGATACATAAACAACCCGCACATAGAAGAGAGGAGCCTATGAAGACGCCTCGGTCCGACTTGGACCATTTACAAAGTCACATTGGTATTGCTTTCCCTCTCATTTGAAGAGTGTAGGAGCATCATAATTTTTTCACACATTATTGAGGAAAGGTGGTTCTATTGAATTACATAGAAGGTGTGCGATATGTTTTACCGTTTTGTTTTTATTGAATCTTTTCTCCCTAAAGAGTTCTTAAAAAAAAAAAAAAAAAAAAAACATATTTCAACATTTTGTATAATGCAATCTATTGACGTTTCGCTCAAACGTCCATGTAATTAGATTACCTAACTTGTTATCTTTTAACTGATGTCGACTAGAACATTGTAAGTCTTACCAGTTTTGTAGAAGGATAGATTTGAGCCCTATGGAATAGGGCACTATTTATTTTTTCTATCTAGCTGTAAGGAAAAAAGTCACTAAAAACGCAGTGTCTGGGTTTCAAATGCTGCTTAATTCACAGTAAAAATTTAATTGAAATTGGACCAAAAGACAAAAAAAAGACGATTTGGCTCATCGCCCCCTTAACATTAATCACATTAGCATACTGTTAGGACATTTTTACTATGACAGATTTTACAAGTAGTATTGTATTTCATCTAACATGATATTTGCAGTTCAGTAACACTCCCATTCTAGGAATGTTAACTTTTAGGCAATTTTCTTAGCTTCTCAGTAGTTTCTACTTTTTCTTAATAAATAAAAGTAATATCTTTTGGCTGATTTTATCACAGGTAGAGCACAACACAGCAGCAAGCATGCAGACATTAGTTAAGCTAGACTCTCTGAAGGGTCGCTTGGTGGCATCTTCTCAAGCACTTAGGGAAGCAGATAACTGGACCACACTCTCAACAGATATCGAGGAGGTATGCAGACTTTTAAATAATGATAATTAGGATGACTAAGAGGGTGTATAAAACTGGGGTGGAAGGAATGTGGGGTAGCTGTTGTACCATGAAGAGAGTGGTTTTTAAAGATTAATGTGCTGTTGGGGTTAGAGTAAGCTAACAGGGAATCTGATTAACTGGACTTGAATCCTGAAGGTGAGATATGCAGTGCTTGCACTCTAAAGGAGGGGTGAGAATGTTGCACTTAGTTAAATAGTATCAAGTTTGGTTTACTGACTTAAAGTAAGAAGAATAATGCACTAACAGTATTTTACTTTATTAAATGGAAAAACAAAGAAAAAAAGATACCTAGACAGTTACAAGCATTGTTACTAAAACATTTGCATAATCTAGTTGAAGTTGTTATGATTACTATTGTGAAAATTCTGTCCCATGCCTGATACTGAGCTAGATTATACATTGGCAAAGCAGAAAAAATATTTTTCTCCATAGGAGAGGGGAAAAGTATACAGGAGAACCCCAGGTTAGATGATGGTTAGCTGATGCAGATTCACAGCAGGGCAAGCTGTGTATCTATATCCAGGATTCCTTCCTGCGGGTGTGAAGTTGGCATGGGTGTGAAGTTGGCACAGGTGTGAGGTTGGCGCAGGTGTGAGGTTGGCGGGTGTGAACTTGGCACTGGTGCGAAGGTAGTGTGGGTGGGTGGGTAAGAGTGGGTGTGAACTATAACTAAACAAAGTAAAGAGGGTAAAACAAACGTCAGTGAGGTAAAAATTAACAGTTTTAGGTATAGAATTTCTGAAGGAATTTACTCGCAAATTTAGAATAAAAGATTATATATAAAACCACTTTAAATTTTAAAATAAAAGTGCAGTTCATGGAAGTAATTAATGATGGGTAGTTACAGGAAACCTCAAAAAATGTTAAGAACATAAGAATGGAGGAACACTGCAGAAGGCCTATTGGTCTATGGGCCAGTAGAGGAGTTCAAAAAGAGATTGACAGTGGTGGTAGTAGTGATGGTGGTCTGAAGACCTCATTTATGATCTGAAGCTGAGGAAAAGGTTATTTAATTAATGATGTTCTAATCTACTTACTATATATGATGCCCGAGTACTGTAGTAGTAGTAGTAGTAATACTAGTACTACAGTAGTAGTAGTAGTAGTGATAGTAATAGTAATAATAATTATTTATTTTTATGCAGATTTAAGTTATCCCACAAGAAAGTACTGTAAACATTTTTAAACTGTGTAATCCATTTCTTCATTAATAGGTAATGGACAGTGGAGATCTTGATGCCATTGGAACCAAATTGGTGGCACTGCAGAACTGCCTTGGTATCTTAACTCACGTACCTGATTATGAGGATCGTGTGGCACACCTTGAAGGCCTTAAAGTCAGGCTAGAAGCTTTAGCCAGCCCCCATATTGTTGGAGCATTTACACAGCACAATCTAGGTTAATTTCTAGCATGTTTACTTTGAAATATTAATCCCAGTGCTTCCTAATTGTATATTTTAATCAGTTGTAATCATCCTATTTGGAGTATTATTCTAACTGCTTTTTTGCTTGCTATTTCAGAAGAATCTGTAAAGTATGCACGTCTGTTGAAATCATTAGGGCGCGTTAGCCAGCTGGAAAGTTATTATCACAAGTGTGAAATTGGTCAACTTGGAACTGCTTGGCGTGGAGGAGTAGAAGGTTCTCTTTTAAGTGGTCCTCCCACATGGCTCACATCATTCTATGATAAAATAGCTTTGCTAACATCACAGCAGGTAAAGTGCATACATACCTGTTGCTCTTATCAGTTAATCTATCCTTATTATCTTTTTTTTTTTTTATTATAAAACTGCCCTTTCTAACTACAGCAAGATGACCCATGAAGAAAACACATTTACCTTCACTCATTGTCTAGCTGTCTTTTGCAAAATGCACTGACATTATAATACAAATGACCCTTTTGCATCTCTGATAATATTTATCTAAGCCTCACAGTCTGACAATGTCTTCTACTTGACTGGTTGTTTAACCATATTTCTTAATATTCTTTTAAATTCTGTACCACTAGAATAGTGTAGGTGTGTAAAAAAAATATTTATAGGCTATTCAAGCTTGGGAGTGTCCATAACTCTAGCACTTATAAGTTAAGTAATGTAGAACTTAGCCATACAGATTGCAAAAAGGACTTAGGGGTTATGGTAAGCAGCAGTCTTAAACCAGGACAGCATTGCCTAAGCATACATAATAAAGCAAACAGATTACTAGGATTTATATCAAGAAGTGTAAGCAACAGAAGTCCAGCAGTTATATTATAGATTTATACAACATTAGTAAGACCTCACATAGATTACACAGCTCAGTTCTGGTCTCCATATTACAGAAAGGATATAAATTTGTTAGAAAACATTCAGCGTAGAATGACTAAATTAATACATAGCATTAGAAATCTTCCGTATGAAGAAAGATTGAAAATCCTTAAACTATATTCACTTGTAAGACGAAGAATGAGGGGAGACATGATCGAAGTGTATAAGTGGAAGATGGGTATTAACAAAGGGGATATAAATAAGGTCTTTAGAATATCTCTCCAAGAGAGAGCCTGCAGTAATAGATTCATATTAGATAAGTTTAGATTTAGAAAGGATATAGGAAAGTACTGATTTGGTAATAGGGTAGTTAATGAGTGGAATGGTCTACCTAGTGGGTAATTTCAAATTTAGGTTGCATAAATACATGGGTGAGAGGGGTTGGATTTGAGTGGGACTTACACATGAGTAAATAGAATTTTTTTTTTTTTTAACAAGTCGGCCGTCTCCCACCGAGGCAGGGTGACCCAAAAAGGAAGAAAATCCCCAAAAAGAAAATACTTTCATCATCATTCAACACTTTCACCTCACTCTCACATAATCAAAGCTTGTTTCTTGGATAGCATTGAAAATTGGGTTGGGCAAATATTTTGTTAGTGGATGGATTGTGAAGGTCCTGCTTAGTATGGGCCATCAGGCCTCCTGCAGTGTTCCACCTTTCTTATGTTCTTATACAAAATTAAATATATTTTAAATATTGTGGATTTACTTTGAGTACCTCATAAAATAAAAAAAACATGATAGTGGTGAAATTGAAGTACTGCATACCAAATTTTGTCTTGAGATATTCTTTTAAAACTGTTAATTTTTCTTCTGTTGTGTATGGCATGGAAAAAATGTAGAAATTTATTAATACTTTCCATAAGTGTGAGGTTTGTATTTGTGCAGGTACGGTGGTGCAGTCATGTGTTTGAAGGATCAGATGCCAACCTCTTACTCTCTCAGTTAGTGGCATCAACCTTTACATCGCTTGACCCGCCTGTTTCCCAGGTAATTGCTGCAGCTGCTAAACAGCAAGAGGAACCACTTGCTTTTCTGATATCTGTAAAAACTGCAGGTGATCAGTTTTTAAGGGATATTGAAGCAACTCTCGGTACTGCAAAACCAGGTTGGTAGATTAAATTCACTGTTATATGAAGTAAATTGGTTGGTTGGTTGTTTCGATTTTGATCTTATTTATTGATGTATTAGGGTTGACATTTCATTTATGTATGATAGAGTTTTGTGCTGTATTGCAATACAAAACAGAAGTTTATTATAAAACTGAAAATTTATTGCAACTTCATCCGTTTCACTATCATGACCCCCAGATTTAAAAGTTCCTTCGGTGAGTTTTTTTTTTTTTTCTTTTTCATCAAGTTGTCGCCTCCCACCGAGGCAGGGTGACCCAAAAAAGAAGGAAAATCCCCAAAAAGAAAATACATTCATCATCATTCAACACTTTCACCACACTCACACATATCACTGCTTTTGCAGAGGTGCTCAGAATACAACAGTTTAGAAGTATATACATATAAAGATACACAACATATCCCTCCAAACTGCCAATATCCCAAACCCCTCCTTTAAAGTGCAGGTATTGTACTTCCCATTTCCAGGACTCAAGTCCGGCTATATAAAATAACCTGTTTCCCTGAATCCCTTCACTAAATATTACCCTGCTCACACTCCAACAGCTTGTCAGGTCCCAAATACCATTTGTCTCCATTCACTCCTATCTAACATGCTCATGCACGCATGCTGGAAGTCCAAGCTCCTCGCCCACAAAACCTCCTTTACTCCCTCCCTCCAACTCTTTCGAGGATGGCCCCTACCCTGCCTTCCTTCCCCTACAGATTTATACGCTCTCCATGTCATTCTACTTTGATCCATTCTCTCTAAATGACCAAACCACCTCAACAACCCCTCTTCAACCCTCTGACTAATACTTTTATTAACTCCACACCTTCTCCTAATTTCCACACTCCGAATTTTCTGCATAATACAGTGGAACCTCTACTTGCGAGCGTGTCCACGTGCGAGTTTTTCCAAATACGAGCAGTCGATGGGTCGATTTTTTGCTTCCATACGCAAGCAAAATTTCCACAAGCGAGCAGACCACAAGGCAGGTTCCTTGACACTGGTGAGGGGCTCTTGCTCTTGATCTCGGGAATTGTATCTCATTTGTTTGTTGGACTATCTTATTGAAACTTTGGCAATGTATGATGGAAAGATGCTTCTTAATGTACACCAAAAACGAAAGAAATCTAAGCATAAATAATGGAGTTCACTTCTCAGCAATTAGCCACCCCTTAGTGGTAATTTCGAATGGTTTTTATGGTTGTATTCTTGTTTTTTTTTGGTCTCATTTAATAGAATGGAAGATAAATTACAGAAATAGATATGATTTTGATTGCTTTCACGACGAAAGGTACCTTGAAATTGAGCTCAACCTAGGAGAAATGGCCCACTGCTTGGCTGTTTCAGTGTAAACAAATGACATCACAGTAAATCTTATATTTTTTGTGTGAATAAAAATTACAAATTATTTATACAATAACATTGATAATAATAATAATAATAATAATAATAATAATAATAATAATAATCATAATAATCATAATAATGAAAGAAATCGTAGCATAAATAATGGAGCTCACTTCTCAGCAATTAGCCACCCCTTAGTGGTATTTTCGTATGGTTGTTTTGGTTGTATTCTCGTTTTTTTGGTCTCATTTGATAGAATGGAAGATATATTACAGAAATAGATATGATTTTGATTGCTTTCATGACGAAAAGTGCCTTGAAATTGAGCTCATCCTAGGAGAAATGGTCCATTACTTGGCTGTTTCAGTGTAAACAAATTACGTCACTGTCCATTCCAATATGCAGTCGTGAATGGGTAGACATTTATACAATTATTGCAGTAAGGAATAACAGTAAATCTTATATTTTTTGTGTGAATGAAAATTGCAAATAATTTATATAATAATAATAATAATAATAATAATAATATAATAATAATAATAATAATAATATGTATAATAAAAATAAGAAGAAAATGAATAAGAAGAATAATAAGAATAAGAAGAAGAAAATTGTCAAAGTGGGAAGTCTGAATGTGCGTGGATGTTGTGCAAATGATAAGAAAGAGATGATTGTGGATGTTATGAATGAGAAGAAACTGGATGTCCTGGCTTTAAGTGAAACAAAGCTGAAGGGGGTGGGAGAGTTTCAATGGAGAAGAATAAATGGGATTAGGTCAGGGGTTTCAAATAGAGTTAGAGCTAAAGAAGGAGTAGCAATAATGTTGAAGGATAAGCTATGGCAGGAAAAGAGGGACTACAAATGTATTAATTCAAGGATTATGTGGAGTAAAATAAAGATTGGATGTGAAAAGTGGGTTATAGTAGCGTGTATGCACCTGGAGAAGAGAGAAGTGTAGAGGAGAGAGAGAGATTTTGAGAAATGTTGAGTGAATGCATGGGGAGTTTTGAATCAAGTGTGAGAGTAATGGTGGTTGGGGATTTCAATGCTAAAGTGGGTAAAAATGTTATGGAGGGAGTAGTAGGTAAATTTGGGGTGCCAGGGGTAAATGTAAATGGGGAGCCTTTAATTGAGCTATGTGTAGAAAGAAATTTGGTAATAAGTAATACATTTTTTTTTTTTTTCCAACAAGTCGGCCGTCTCCCACCGAGGCAGGGTGACCCAAAAAAGAAAGAAAATCCCCAAAAAGAAAATACTTTCATCATCATTCAACACTTTCACCACACTCACACATTATCACTGCTTTTGCAGAGGTGCTCAGAATACAACAGCTTAGAAGCATATACGTATAAAGATACACAACATATCCCTCCAAACTGCCAATATCCCAAACCTCTCCTTTAAAGTGCAGGCATTGTACTTCCCATTTCCAGGACTCAAGTCCGACTATATGAACATAACCGGTTTCCCTGAATCCCTTCACTAAATATTACCTTGCTCACACTCCAACAGATCGTCAGGTCCCAAGTATCATTCGCCTCCATTCACTCCTATCTAACATGCTCATGCACGCTTGCTGGAAGTCCAAGCCCCTAGCCCACAAAACCTCCTTTACCCCCTCTTTCCAACCCTTTGGAGGATGACCCCTACCCCTCCTTCCTTCCCCTATAGATTTATATGCTTTCCATGTCATTCTACTTTGATCCATTCTCTCTAAATGACCAAACCACCTCAACAACCCCTCTTCTGCCCTCTGACTAATGATTTTATTAACTCCACACCTTCTCCTAATTTCCACACTCCGAATTTTCTGCATAATATTTACACCACACATTGCCCTTAGACAGGACATCTCCACTGCCTCCAACCGTTCTCCTCGCTGCTGCATTTACCACCCAAGCTTCACATCCATATAAGAGTGTTGGTACTACTATACTTTCATACATTCCCTTCTTTGCCTCCATAGATAACGTTTTTTGACTCCACATATACCTCAACGCACCACTCACCTTTTTTCCCTCATCAATTCTATGATTAACCTCATCCTTCATAAATCCATCCGCTGACACGTCAACTCCCAAGTATCTGAAAACATTCACTTCTTCCATACTCCTCCTCCCCAATTGATATCCAATTTTTCTTTATCTAAATCATTTGATACCCTCATCACCTTACTCTTTTCTATGTTCACTTTCAACTTTCTACCTTTACACACATTCTCAAACTCATCCACTAACCTTTGCAATTTTTCTTTAGAATCTCCCATAAGCACAGTATCATCAGCAAAAAGTAACTGTGTCAATTCCCATTTTGAATTTGATTCCCCATAATTTAATCCCACCCCTCTCCCGAACACCCTAGCATTTACTTCTTTTACAACCCCATCTACAAATATATTAAACAACCATGGTGACATTACACATCCCTGTCTAAGACCTACTTTTACTGGGAAGTATTCTCCCTCTCTTCTACACACCCTAACCTGAGCCTCACTATCCTCATAAAAGCTCTTTACAGTATTTAGTAACTTACCACCTATTCCATATACTTGCAACATCTGCCACATTGCTCCTCTATCCACTCTATCATATGCCTTTTCTAAATCCATAAATGCAATAAAAGCTTCCCTACCTTTATCTAAATACTGTTCACATATATGCTTCAATGTAAACACTTGATCTACACATCCCCTACCCACTCTGAAGCCTCCCTGCTCATCTGCAATCCTACATTCTGTCTTACCTCTTATTCTTTCAATTATAACCCTACCGTATACTTTTCCTGGTATACTCAGTAAACTTATTCCTCTATAATTTTTACAATCTCTTTTGTCCCCTTTCCCTTTATATAAAGGAATTATACATGCTCTCCGCCAATCCCTAGGTACCTTCCCCTCTTTCATACATTTATTAAACAAAAGTACCAACCACTCCAACACTATATTCCCCCCTGCTTTTAACATTTCTGTCATGATCCCATCAGTTCCAACTGCTTTACCCCCTTTCATTCTACGTAATGCCTCACGTACCTCCACCACACTTACATTCTGCTCTTCTTCACTCCTAAAAGATGGTATACCTCCCTGGCCAGTGCATGAAATTACCGCCTCCCTTTCTTCCTCAACATTTAAAAGTTCCTCAAAAATTATTGCCATCTACCTAATACCTCCCTCTCCCCATCTACTAACTCCCCTACTCTGTTTTTAACTGACAAATCCATACTTTCCCTAGGCTTTCTTAACTTGTTTAACTCACTCCAAAATTTTTTCTTATTTTCATTAAAATTTCTTGACAGTGCCTCTCCCACTTTATCATCTGCTCTCCTTTTGCACTCTCTTGCCACTCTCTTCACCTTTCTTTTACTCGCTCGAATGGAGCGAAACAGAATGACTTCAAGAGTGTATCAGTCTGTATTACAAAAAAGTAATTTTTAAAAGAAGATGATGTTAAGATTTACTTCTTTTGTAATAAAGAGTTCGGGATACATAAATACACACATTAAAATAAATTAATCTTTAATCAACTATCTTTGGTCTAGAGGTATTTGAACTATGATATATAATATGTACATGTTACTATAATAAATTATAATCAGCATTTTACTAAAATAATAAATAATTCATAACCCTACACAGGGTACAAC